ACATTGGGTTGTTGTAGGTTTTTCGGGATGTATGGCCATGTATGACGTTTCACCTGCATCTATGGCACGCATCCTCAGAGGTTGTGAGGTCTGTTGGCAACTAGGAAAATCCAGGGTGGAAAGTCCAGGGTGGGAGAAAGAATGCTTGTCTGTTGGGAGCTAGGTGTGAATGTTTCAATGTTTCAATTGAAATGTGGATGGTTTCAACAGAGGGGAGGAGGCCATGAGGGTTAACAGAATCTGGCTACCAGTATTAAAAAACTCTAAAATTATAACAGTAAATAAAAAACAAAACTCAAACACAGGGGAATCCAGAGAAGAAACAATAAGGAACAGCTAATCACCACTCAACAAAGAATTCCCTCAGGTAGTAAGAGGGCACACCTAAAAACTGTCAGGCCATCAAATGCTAATCAAGGTGGTCAAATGAAACATTCACACCTAGCTCCAACAGAGAAGAGTTCTTTCTCTCCTGGACTTTACACAGATTTATAAACCCAATTTTCCTAGTTTCCAACAGACCTCACAACCTCTGAGGATGCCTGACATTGTGATGCAGGTGAAACATCAGGAGAGAATAGAAACATAGAATCATAGAATCAAAGAGTTGGAAGAGACCTCATGGGCCATCCAGTCCAACCCCATTCTGCCAAGAAGCAGGAATATTGCATTCAAATCACCCCTGACAGATGGCCATCCAGCCTCTGTTTAAAAGCTTCCAAAGAAGGAGCCTCCACCACACTCCGGGGCAGAGAGTTCCACTGCTGAACGGCTCTCACAGTCAGGAAGTTCTTCCTCATGTTCAGATTGAATCTCCTTTCTTGTAGTTTGAAGCCATTGTTCTGCGTCCTAGTCTCCAGGGAAGCAGAAAACAAGCTTGCTCCCTCCTCCTGTGGCTTCCTCTCACATATTTATACATGGCTATCATATCCCCTCTCAGCCTTCTCTTCTTCAGGCTAAACATGCCCAGCTCCTTAAGCCGCTCCTCATAGGGCTTGTTCTCCAGACCTTTTATCATTTTAGTCGCTCTCCTCTGGACACATTCCAGCTTGTCAATATCTCTCTCTTGAATTGTGGTGCCCAGAATTGGACACAATATTCCAGGTGTGGTCTAACCAAAGCAGAATAGAGGGGTAGCATGACTTCCCTAGATCTAGACACTATGCTCCTATTGATGCAGGCCAAAATCCCATTGGTTTTTTTTGCCGCCACATCACATTGTTGGCTCATGTTTAACTTGTTGTCCACGAGGACTCCAAGATCTTTTTCACACGTACTGCTCTCGAGCCAGGCATCCCCCATTCTGTATCTTTGCATTTCGTTTTTCCTGCCAAAGTGGAGTATCTTGCATTTGTCACTGTTGAACTTCATTTTGTTAATTTTGGCCCATCTCTCTAATCTGTCAAGATCGTTTTGAATCCTGCTCCTGTCCTCTGGAGTATTGGCTATCCCTCCCAATTTGGTGTCGTCTGCAAACTTGATGATCCTGCCTTCTAGCTCTTCATCTAAGTCATTAATAAAGATGTTGAACAGGACCGGGCCCAGGACGGAACCCTGCGGCACTCCGCTCGTCACTTCTTTCCAGGATGAAGAGGAAGCATTGGTGAGCACCCTCTGGGTTCGTCCATTTAACCAATTACAGATCCACCTCACCGTAGTTTTGCCTAGCCCACATTGGACTAGTTTCCTTGCTAGAAGGTCATGGGGGACCTTGTCGAAGGCCTTACTGAAATCCAGGTACGCTACATCCACGGCATTCCCCGCATCTACCCAGCTTGTAACTCTATCGAAAAAAGAGATCAGATTAGTCTGGCATGACTTGTTTTTGATAAATCCATGTTGACTATTAGCGATGACCGCATTTGTTTCTAAGTGTTTGCAGACCACTTCCTTAACAATCTTTTCCAGAATCTTGCCTGGTATCGACGTGAGGCTGACCGGACGGTAGTTGTTTGGGTCATCCTTTTTTTCCCTTCTTGAAGATTGGGACCACATTGGCCCTCCTCCAATCTGCTGGAACTTCTCCTGTTCTCCAAGAACTCTCAAAGATGGTTGCCAATGGTTCCGAAATGACTTCCGCTAGTTCCTTCAATACTCTTGGGTGTAGTTGATCTGGCCCTGGGGACTTGAACTCATTTAGAGCGGCCAGTTATTCCTGTACGACTTGTTTCCCAATTTGGAGTTGGATGTCCTCAAATCCCTCATCCACTCCGTCTTGCTGAGGTTGAAGATGACTTTCTTTTTGTGAGAAGACCGAGGCAAAGAAGGCATTAAGTAGTTCTGCCTTTTCCCTACCTGTCAGCATTTCCCCATCTTCTCCTCGAAGAGGCCCTATCGCCTCCTTGTTTTTCCTTTTTCTACTGACATAAGAAAATAATCCCTTTTTATTGTTTTTAATGTCCCTGGCAAGCCTGAGCTCGTTTTGTGCTTTAGCCTTGCGGACCTTTTCCCTACAGGTGTTGGCTATTTGTTTGAATTCTTCTTTGGTGATTTCTCCCTTTTTCCAGTTCTTGTGCATGTCTCTTTTGTGTCTCAGCAGAGTTAGAAGTTCTTTGGACATCCATTCTGGCCTCTTTGCACTTGTCCTATTTTTTCTTTTTGTTGGCATGGTTTGCAACTGCGCCTTGAGTATTTCACTCTTGAGAAACTCCCATCCATCCGTAACTCCCTTGTCTTTTAGTATCTGTGTCCACGGAATGCTGCTCAGCGTTTCCTTCATTTTTTGGAAATCAGCTCTCCCAAAGTCCAAAATGCGGGTTTGACTTGTCTTAGTTTCGGCCTTCCTTTGTACCTCAAATTGCAGGAGCACATGGTCACTTGCCCCTAAGGATCCTACCACTTCAACCGCATCGATCAGGTCCTCCGCATTTGTTAGGATGAGATCAAGAGTAGCCAATCCCCTTGTTGCCTCTTCTACCTTCTGGACCATGAAATTGTCTGCAAGGCAAGCGAGGAATTTGTTGGACTTTGTACTCTTGGCCGAGTTTGTTTTCCAGCAAATATCGGGATAGTTGAAATCGCCCATGACTACTACATCTCTTCTCTGTGCCTGTTTGGTCAACTGTTGGCAGAAGACTTCATCAAGTTCTTCCTCCTGGCTTGGGAGGTCTGTAGTAGACGCCTACAACAAGATCTTTTTGAGTCCCAGTTCCCTTGATTCTTATCCAGATGCTTTCAAACTGGTTTCCCGGATTGCTGTCTTGCATCTCTTCTGCAGCATAAGAGTTTTTGACATATAAGGCTACTCCGCCTCCTCTCCCCTTTGTTCGGTTTCTGTGAAAGAGGTTATAGCCCTCGATGTCTACATTCCAGCGATAGGAGTCATCCCACCAGGTTTCAGTGATGCCTATGATATCATATTTGTGGTGTTGTGCTAAAAGTTGGAGTTCGTCTTGTTTATTTCCCATGCTCTGTGCATTAGTGTAAAGACATGTGATCCCCTGAGATCTTCCCTTGAGCTGTTTAATTGGGATTATTGTGCTTTTGGTACTTGGTCCTTGTTGTGTTTGTGCAGCCCTCCGTTTAGCCTTCTGGCGGTTCCCTGACATTGTGGGTAAAGTAGTGTTCGCAAGGCTGTTGTCCCCTCCCCCAGTGGGCCTAGTTTAAAGTGCGCCTAATGAGGTTTGCGAGTCTGTGAGCAAAAAGGTGTTTTCCTACTTGTGTGAGATGCACCCCATCCCTTGCCAGTAGGCCATCCTCCTGGAAAAGCAGGCCATGGTCAAGGAAGCCAAAGCGTTCCTCCTGACACCATTTTCTAAGCCAGTTATTGACCTGTACTATTTTTCTGGCCCTTGTAGGACCGTGTTTTATGACTGGGAGGAGGGATGAAAAGACCACCTGTACATTACATTGCTTTAGCTTTGTTCCTAGAGCTTGAAAATCATTAATCAATACTTCTAGAACATGGCCATACCATCCAAAAAACCTACAACAACCCAGTGACTCCAGCCATGAAAGCCTTCGGCAATACAAAATGCCACATTGTTGTTATTCTTATTCTGTACATCCTTTCAGAGTGATGTTATTTCCACCCTTTTAAAAATATATATATCTGAACATGGAGATGGTAAAGCCACTATTGAGATGCGGCTCAAATAGTTCCAAAGATTTATTTGACATTTATTCAACTTTTTATAATTTAAACTGTTTTGTTCTTGTTTTCCTGCATCACACAATTCATTTCCCATTTTTCTCCCAGTACATGACCTAAGGCAGCACCTGTGTTACAAACTGTCTCATCTGCTATGTGTTCAAATTTGTTTCTTTGCCCCTTCTCTTAATATCCATGGACAAAAGCAATAAAATGGAGAGGAAATCCCTCACAAAGATTTTTTTTAAAGATTCATGATTGTAAAGATGAGATAGCAGAACTGCCAAATTAAGGTTCAGTTTCCAGCCATTTGCTCTTTTCTATTGTGCTCAGTTGGTTTTGTATGTATAGATAGATACCTTATTGGTGAATATTGTTTTGATGACAGTTGCATTCAATATGACATCTCATATCACATTCTATCTCAAAATGAAATGTGCTTTTCTCTTTTTGCTTACTTGTTTTTGAGTGTGATCACAATTGAAAAAGGGTTAGAAACTTCTCACAAAGTACAACAGGCCACTGATAACTTTGCAAGCCAGAGACCGATGTTATCTCCATGCTTTTTATTAAAAAAAGCATACAACAGCAGACAAGATCTTTCCACAATGAGCTGATGACAGAGTAATATCTCCAGATTGATTGTTCGCCCCCCACGGACCCCTTGAAATATTTTAACCCTGAAAAGTTGTAGATCAAAAGCATCAAACCAAAAGAAAAAAAAGGAACACAAAACTGAGGGGAAAAAGCCCTATCATAAAGAACCTACTCAGATTTCAGTCTGGTGATGAACAGGCTTGGTAAGTATTTTGAGACCTGGCAGATTTTCCCCTCTAAAATCCAGGCAAAGTTTTAAAAAAGAATTTCCATAATGAGTGTCTTTTTCCTTGTCGGAGGCAGTGGAGTATTTTCTGAAAAAGTTCCAGCTAGGCAGTGATGTTAAACAGATGATTACATTCAGCAGTACAGGATACATGGAGTTCAGCTGACTCAAGTTCTGATCTGGGGGATTTGGGTAAGTACCCTTCATAGAAACTGCTTAAGAGGTTTCACAATATTTTTGGAGGGTAAAAAACAAATATGAATATTTTCCAAAGTTTCCTTTGTGTCACTCATCAAGCAATATGGGATCATGGGTAATTCTAGTGGAGCTTGTTGAGAGTTGACTATGGACAAGATGAATTAAGCATCTGTCAAAGCTTCAGTTTGAGAGGGATTGTGTTAATTTTGCATCCTGGATTGATGAAACCTAGCAATGTGTTAGGCTGCTGTTTGGACTTAGGATTGGAACTGTCTTGGGATGAAGATGCAGATCTAGCACAGAACTTTGCAAGTGGTTCCAGACAGTCTTATCCGGCTTATGGCATCAGTCTAACCCATTCCCAAAATCAAAGCCATGTGAAAATCAAATGAGAGGATTTTGATCAATGGGATTTCTTATCTGGATTCTACTGCAATAGAAGGACAGAAATTCAATGTGTGCACAGTTTCACTATTACCAAAAGTTTCATATTATAGGGAGGGAAGCAGATTTTTGTTTATTTATTTTGTTTCTTTTAAAAATGACTACATCTTCTTTAAGGAGAAATAAGTTGAACTTGAAATAAAATCCCTTTGTTCAACCAATATAACTGAAAATAGCAGAACAATATTTAAATGTATACCAAACAGGATTTTATCCACCCTTGGGGATAGCTAAAGTAGACCTAATCTAACTCTTCTTTATTATGAATATAATTCTTTATAAAAGAATTTGGCATATTTCCTCCCTCCCTCTTTTCATCTAAACTAGACAAGGCATATTTTGACAATTGCTCCCAGAACAGCTGTAAAGCTTCTCAGAGTCCAGGATCATTATTGAGTGAGATTCAAAATAAATGAGGAATCGTTTTTTTCTATTTTGCCATAAAAATGTGGGTCCACCCTGTGCTGGCTTTCCAACAAAAAAGTAAATGGATAGAAAATGTAAAAGCTAAGGTAACTACTGGCATTTTATATGCAGAATTAATGAAATTTTGGAAACATCTACTGTATACCAAAAGGTGCACATAATTTGAAGAAAGAGGAGGAGGAGGAAGTTAAAATCGGGTATATTATATTGCACCAAATTTTACATTCCTTACAGATAATTTCTTTTTTCGAAGAAGAGAGATCAAAACTAGGTATAAAGCAATAAAATAATACTGTCTTTATTCACACTGAAAACAGAAGGCTTCACTAAAATCTGTGCTATTTCCTTCAATCATTTCTGGAGGATTTCTGCCTTGACTTTTTGTTCACTGTGAAAGGATGCACAGAATAACAATAACAACATAGTAATATTTGTTTGGATCTGCATCCACCTATGCAATTGGAGAAATTCAACACTGTAAAACAAGAAGCTGCCTGCTATTGAATAAGATCTTCAATCTCAGTAGCTCAGCAATGTGTCTTCATAGAAAATGCAATAGTTGTCCCACTACTGGAAGAGCAATAATTTTTATCCCTACTATTAAAGCCAAAGCAGATCTTCTGCATGCATCTGACCCTCGATCCTCTTTCTCCAAACCTTCATTGCCCCATTTCAACCTACATATATCTATGACCATTTAATTTTTAGAAAAAGGATTAAGAAAAGGAGAATTGCAGACATTTCCAGGTGAACATATTTTGCTGTTGCAGCAAAAAGCTTGAAAAAGAAAATTCAATAATCTTCTCATTAGCAATACAATTATAAAATATGTCAAACATAGAAATAGATTTTATCAAATCAAGCCAGCTATAAATAACACAGCCAAATAAAAAAATCTTGGTGTTGTGATTTTTAGGCCTGTTCCTGGGGATATTTTGGGTGCTGATTCAGAAAATTGCATCGGATAGACTGCATCAGCTCTAGTTTCTTAGATATGGTTATCATGGATATCTGTGGGTAAGCAGATGAAGACTGGTAGGTAGCATACTATGTTCTATATCTCAAACTCTATTGCTGAGATGGGTGCCATTTTTGGAATCGGCAGGTCAAATATACTCAGAAACAGATTTAACAGTTAAGACTCCAAAATGTATGTTGGCAAGTATAATATATCCATCTAGCTATGCATGCATCCATCCACCAATACATTGGTCAAAATCCTTTTTTTTTTTGGTCCTGACCATTGAAACCATTGATTTATCGACATGTTAGGACACAATTCAACAATTGATTGAATGGACTAACCAAGTGGATGCTAATCATGAAATCTATGCTGGATTAATCAATTTCTAAAATATATGAATATCTGTTGTGATAAAAACCCAACAGATTTTGTTGGAGTCCATCTTGACCATTTGTTTTTTTAGAAAATATTTAACAGTCATACCAAGTTGCTACAAAGGTTTTGTACAATGAAATAAAGGAGCAAAAAGAAAACAAATAGTCTTATGGTATTTTCAAAAAGTGGACATGTTTTATTGCAGACAGCAGGCCATTTCAATCATGTGGGATAAAATATGTCATTCTCTAAGACCTCTTAACACTCTTTGGTGTTTAAGAAATGCAGTGAAAAACTCTGGCTTTTTAATCTCGAAATAAGATTGTGGTAAATTTAAAAGATAAAGAAAATTGTCCAATTGTATTTTTGAAATGTTGTTAAATTGTTGTTGCTATGAGCATGGTATCATTTCTGCTATCTTCAACTACCTTTGCAATGAAATGAGTGTTACTATTTCTTAGTTATTAGATACAAGATACACTTTGGAAATGGCCAAAATGAATTCACAAAGGGAATTAAGCCTGCACTCCTAAATGAATTTAAAAGTGAGTTAAGTGCTGTTAAACTCACTAGAATTTGTCATGAGTCAATAGACTTATGACCATGCTAACATAATTTGGGTCTTTAGAATGTTCCGTCAAATATGCCAAAACCTTAATAGGTTTCCTATATAGTTCTTGAATAATGGGAAGGAAATAATTATTAAACAGTCAATAATACTTTAAAATGTTTTAGTAGAGAACCACTCAGCACTCTGAACTATGGACAATTCAAAATTATTCTATGTATATTTAGTGATTCCTACTGCCAGAAAGATTTTAGGATACTTTTGCTGAGATTGATAAACTTTGATGTGAGGCGACTATCTCTTCCCAAGATCAGCTGGGGAATCAACATTTTCCTATAAGAAAACATGTATAGTTTTCCTCAAAAAATATTCAAAACAGTTCAAATATTTCACTATTTCAATATTTAAGAAATATATCAATAATCACTGCAGCTGAATCCTCATGACAACCAGTTAAATTACCTCAGGGTGCATTGTTTGTATGTTTACATGCATTGTCTGCCACCAAATGGGACATGAAGCAGGATCTGTTTTTAAAAAGATTGTTTTTTTTTTTAAAAAAAAGACAGAAGAGAAGCTAAACAATCAGAGCTTAGAAAATGTGTCCTTTGAACAACATTGAGATCACTGAAGAAGACAGAATTATGTTTCCTCAATTATTTATCCCCCCTGCAGTCCTCTGATTTTTAACATTGCAGTAGCTTAAAACTTCAATTGAGCATTTGGAAATGCAGTTTAGGCATCTGAAGAAAAGGGGCAAAGTTACCAATGCAAAGAAAAGACAGCAATTTTTTTGTGTCAGGAGTGACTTGAGAAATTGCAAGTTGCTTCTAGTATGAGATGTTGCACCTCAGAGTAGAATTACCTTGCTGAAGGACACCAAACTGCGCACAGCCAATAGTCTTTATGGTTTATTAAAAGTAAGAGGTAAAAAGTTCTTAAAAGCAAAAGTACTGTTTCAAAAGATCAGGATAACATAGCACTTGAAGCATAATCCAGTAGGCATCAGCAAAACAAGACCCAAGAGAACATGACAAAGTCCTGGAATCATAAACACAAAAACAGCAAGGTAAATCCAGCCTAGCTTAGGCAAACTTCTTAGGTGAACGCGAAAGTTGCTTTGACAAAGATCTCATCTCAAACCTCTTGTAATAGACCCTTTGCAAACATGAAAGCATTTTGTTGGCCTCTAGCCTCCCTCTGGTTTGCAATCCTTTCACTTCGGACATGAAATTCCAACCGGGCTGCTCTATCTAATGTTCCCGTTTCATCAAGGTCAATCTGTTAGTTAGCAGCCTGCTTTTCTGTTTGTTCATTATCAGGCCGGGAACTAGGCAAAGAGCTATCTTCTCTTTCGGAGTCAATCTGTACCTGGCTGCTATTTTCAGTTTCTGCACTCTCAGGCCTTGCTGTGGGAAACTACCCTTCTTCTTCACTGTCTATAGCAGGGACATCTATAGCAGGGACATCTTGAACCAAACTGTGAACCTGAGTCCCACCATCCTCATCAGAAACACCCTCTGATTCCAGCTGTGTCACAACATGAGATGTTGCCCAGGGGATGTCCAGATGTTTTACCATCTTGTGACAGGCTTCTCTCATGTTCCAGCATGGGAAGCTGGAGCTGACAGTTGGGAGCTCACCCTGCTCCCTGGACTCGAACCACCGACTTTTTGGCCAGTAATCCTACCAGCACAAGGGTTTAACCCATTGTGTCACCGGGACAAATAGTTGTGAATAATTTTCAATTGATCATTCTCTGGAATGCTAGAAATTTGTGAGGTAAATGAAAAATTCATCGTAGGGAGTTTGTTGTGCAATGCTCTCATTTTGCTCCACATTGCTATACCCAGGCCTAGAGTCAATCTTATTGAAATCTATGGGAAGCAGACCTATTGAAATCTATGGAAGAAAGTAATGATAATTGAGGAGTGGTAAAAATTTACCTGATTTGTATTTTCATATTTCAACCTGATTTATGTAGACCAGTATGCAATGTGACATCAAATTATTTTGCAATGTCAATTGAAATTATTTTTGCCATTCCTTCACTTTAAATTTTGTATTGATGTTCTCTCATCACCATGTATAAAAATGCATACTTTATTTTTATATATTTTTTATTCCTACCTCATCCAGGGTTTTATCATTTTACCGTGTCCATTTGGCCTGCTCATTCTGTTTGATTTCATATTGTGTTAATTTGCTTTATTTATGTTATTTTGTTACTGTATGTATTTTATTCTGATGCAATTTTTGTTGTCTGCAGTGTGTAGTCCCCTTTGGGGAGATGGTGGTGGGGTATAAATAAAGTTTATTATTATTACATTAGAGTTCTATGGCTTGAAAATAAATCACAATACCAAACTTTATTGGGGGGGGGGTACTTTAAAATCCATACAAATTTTAATGCAAGATGTATTAAAATGTATGCAAGATGTATGCAAGAATGTATATGATTTTTAATGCAAGATGTATGTAAGGATGTCTATGATTTTTCATAACAGTTTTATTAAAATCACAGTTATGGGAAATTGGAATGGAAAGAACTTGAACTTGGAAACAAATGGATAATATTGAGAACTAAATAGACAAATCCATCTGTCCCTCAGTCCAAATCTGGCAAAATGAGTCTTCCATCCCTTTTCTTCAATGCTGCAGCCTTTGAACAGTTCATAAACTCTCTCCAAAGGGGTTGCCATCTCTTCCGAACAAGGTTTTGGGGTTCAAAACGATTGCAGTGAGAAAGGCTCACTTCTTCCAACTTCTTTTTCATTCTGTGTGCATTTTAATGAAATTTCCCCAATATACTTTAAAATTGTTCTTTAGTTTCAAGCCATAAAACACTAAAGCATACAACCAAATAGACTGGAAGGGTGCTGGCATAAAACATAGATAATGAAAATGCAGTGTTTGTTGTTTGTTCACTGGTGAGGTGTGTCTTGTTCGATTGTAAAAAAAGATTTATAATGATTACCTTTCTATGAAAGCTACCTCATCACAGATTTGATCCAATAAAGTTTGATAAATGACTGTCCAAATAATACGCATAACTAATGCATGCTGATTATGAATACAGTAATGGCTCTAACAGGATGGTTTATATATTTATCCATCATGGAAAAGTAGGTATGATACATAGGAAAAGTTTGGGCACATAATTTTTATCCTTTGCAGCTAGACAATCCTAAAAATGTTGATGTGCTATCTTCAAAAGAAACAGGTTTAGGAAAAATAAAGTCAGCGTAAAATAGATGACTACGTAGACAAAATGACTATATACTATCAGCTGTTGTCAGGTTATTCAATTGGAAATTAGGAATACTAATTCTTTATCATGTATTCATACAAAAATCATTCAATGGCAGTAATTCACACACCCATTTGTATGTATGGAAGAAACCGCACTGAATAGCATATTTTCAGTCCCATTGGAGAAGGGAACTCTACAGCTTATGCCTTGTGTAATCCTAGGGTGCATCTACACTGTTCAGTTGATGCAGTTTGAAAACACTGCCAAAATATATTAAAAATAGAAAAGACACCACTTTAATTGCCATGGCTCAATGCTATGGCATTCTGGAACCTTTTTTTTTTTGTATCAGGAGCAACTTGAGAAACTGCAAGTTACACAGTGTAGATGCACCCCTAGTAGCTGAAGTCACTTCTGTCTCTACACTTATTTAACAAGTGGTCAGACCTTTGTTGTTGTGGTCTGTAAAGATACTGTTATTTGTGCAACTGATGATGCCATTCCTTAGCTATGAATCCAATTCTGTCATTCATTATAGATTGCACAGAGTCACTTGCAGTAACAGAAAGACACAATTGAATCTGAATAGTAACATATAGTTTGAACATACAAATATAGAAAGAACATGGAAATTGGAGTTCAGTGGAGTACCAGAATATTGGGAAATTTAAAAGCCATGGAAAAAAGAAAGCATACTGCAGCTAGGCATTCACACCTGTTTTGATTTGAATTTTCAAAGAACCAAAGCCTATCTGATCTTGGAAGCTAAGCAGAATCAGCCTTGATTAATACTTAGATGGGAGACTGCCAATATATTTGAGACTGTTAATACATTTGAGAGGAAGGAACCAGCAAAAGTATATTGTCTGAGTGCCCATAGAGTCACTAAATGTTGACAGGTGACCTGAAGACAGACACACCTGGACACTCACAGACAAAGGGGTATTTTTTGGGCAGGGCTTTCATGATAAGAGCTATTTGGCAATGGAATAGAGTGCTTCGGGGTGTGGTGGACTCACCATCTTTGGAGATTCTCAAACAGAGGCCGGATAGCCATTTGTCAGGAGTGCTTTGATTGTGTGTTCCTGCATGGAAGGGGGTTGGACTGAATGGCCCTTGTGGTCTCTTCCAATTTTTATGATTCCTTATGACTGCTGTTTCAGAATCAGGGCAAGCGGATCATCATTCTTGTATTTTAATTTTGATCAGCTGATATAACTGTTACAACTTGAATGTCTAAGAAAGCAATCCAGGGCAAAGAATAATTGCCTGATGTTCTGCTAGGTTTTGCGATGGAACGAGTATGGCTGCTGCTCCTGCTCACTATAAAGGTGCTCTCAGTGACCACGCAATTCAATGGATACAACTGCGATGCCAGCCTCCACAGCAGATTTCCTGGTAAGTGCTAATTGCAACAAGTTAATTAAGTTCTTCGTTATCTAGTTTACAAGAGATGCTTTTCAGTAAAAATGAAAAGTTTCAAAGTGACTGAAGAACTGGGAGAAAACACCTCATTAACTGTCTAATGGTGAGTGAAATTCCTGTAAAGCAGCAAAAACTACCAGCTGGGTTATACGTAGGTGCCAATCCAAATAATAACAACATACTTTCTTTTCATCCAAAGGGTGAACTTTAGAGCCCCCTTTTAGTCAAAATGCATCCAATTATTGTTAGAAATATTGGTAACATGTTTTTCCTAGAGCAATGTAGGAAGATGTTTCCTTAGGGTCAAACAAAATATAACACGATTCTCAGCAGTTGAGTGAAAGATTTTTTAAAAAATACACCAGTAAGAAAGTAGGATTCCATAATTGGAGTTATATATAGAGTCAGTGTGGGTCAATCAAGAAGCAACCTCTACCCCTTGTTAGATTTTCATTGAGGTTAGGCATCCTATGCTTGCTACTTACTCTTAAAAAAACAAGAAAAAAGCCATTCATGTAGTAGCTGACAACTGTCATGTCTAATGTTGCACTGAGAAGTCTCTAACATTTCATTTGAAAACTTCAAATTGCTTTTAACTAAATTGCCTTGCTGATGCCTACTCTCCTAATAATGCAAAGCTGAGAATGAATGGCAGCACTATGAATATTTTGAACCCCAAGTATGTGCTTCCCTTCTAACCTGCAGAATAAAAACATATTACAATTTATTAGCAGTTAGAATTTCTGGGAGCTGAAGTCCAAAACATCTGGAGACCCACAGGTTGAGAACCACTGCTATAGACACATATCTACAGTTTGGAGATACTCTTGGATTCGGCTTTGAACCCAGAGACACAGGTTTTTACAGTGGCCAGGAGAACCTTTGCACATTTAAAGCATGTGCTCTAAATGTAACCTTTCCTTGAGATGCTGGATCTGATCACAGTGTTACATGACTTAATTACATCCTGTTTGTATTACTGTGACTAGTCTACTTGGAACTACCTTTGAAGAGTGAAACTTTAGCTGCTTCAAAGATCTGCAGCCAGACTATTAACTGGGGCATTGTATACCTCTGTTGAAACAGTGCCATTGGCTGGCAGTTTGTTTCTGGGCACAATTCAAAGTGCTGATTATGACCTACAAATCCCTATACAACTCAGGTCCAGGATATTTGGTAGACTGTATCTCCCTGAATGCGTTGGTTTGGACTCTGAGATTATCTCTTCTAGCAGGACATTCCATAGACTTGTGATTCAGAGGATCTTTGCAGCTGATGCAAAGGTCTTCTGAATCACAGTTGCCAGTCAGGTTCTGGCAGGCTGGAGTAGATGTCCCCCAGAGGACCTAATGTACAGAAGTTACTGCTATTACTTACAATGTGACAAAATAATATTTATTACTGACACACACTGAATAGAAGTGGTGGAAATGATGGACTATGTCTGAAATCCTGTTGCCAGTGTATGTGTGTGCAACTTGAATTTATGCATGTGTATACCTTTTGGGGTGGTGGGTATTGTGCAAGGAGGCATTCAGGACCATTTTGTGCAATATCTAAACAGGTCCCAGTGTTACTGTAACCGTAATTTATTAACTGGAGAAGAAAGGGTGAAGCAAACAGGCCAGCAAAGGACAAGAGGGATCCTCTCACTTCTGTGGGAGTCAACCATATACCATGCAGCTGTGGACAAGTCTACATAGGGACCACCAAATGCAGTGCCCAAACACAAATCAAGGAACATGTAAGGCACTGCAGACTACTTAAGACAGGGAAGTCAGCCATAGCAGAGCACCTGATGAACCAACTGGGACACAGCATATTATTTGAGAACACAGAAATGCTGGACCACTCTAACAACTACCATGTCAGACTACACAGAGAAGCAATTGAAATCCATAAGCATGTGGACAATTTCAACAGAAAGGAGAAAACCATGAAAATGAACAAAATCTGGCTACCAGCAGACATGTAGCCGGGGGGGAGGGGGGGGGGCTCGGGGAGCTTCAGCCCCCCCCCCCCCCGAAATTCTCATGGTGGTTCGCTAAAGGCCTTACTGGTGCATTATTTAAACTGTTATGTTTATTCATATCATGATCTGATCACCATACTCAATATATCCCATATGCATGGGGGTATTGGGGTAATGATACAAAAGGTTTGCTAGGCTAAACCCTCTTTCACTCAAACTCAGCCCCCCCCCGAAACTCAGCCCCCCCGAAACCCCCCCTGAAAAAAATTCAGGCCCCCCCGAAACGAAATCCTGGCTACGGGCCTGGCTACCAGTATTAAAAAACTTTAAAATTACAAAAGCAAAACAACAGAGAGGAAACAATCAGGGACAGCTAATCACCTCTCAACAAAATATTCCCCCAGGCACTAACAAGCCACACCAAAAAACTGTCAGGCCATCAAATGCTAATCAAGATGATCAGTTGAAACATACACACCAAGCTCCAATAGACAAGAGTTCTTTCTCCCACCCTGGTCATTCCACAGATATATAACCCCAATTTTCCTAGTTCCAACAGACCTCACAACCTCTGGGGATGCTTGCCATAGATGCAAGTGAAACGTCAGGAGAGAATGCCTCTAGAACATGGCCATATAGCCCGAAAAAACCTACAACAATTCAAACAGGCCATGTCTGGCTACATATCTGTAGGTATGGAAGAGAACTGAAGTTGTCCTCCCAGATTTCCAAATCCAGGAGAGTGTCCTCTGTTTTCTTTCTCTTACTGCAGAACTCTGCAGGTTCTCATCCAGACAGAATTGCTGTTGAATGCTGCCTGGTTACCCCCTTTGTCCAGCAAATGGTTATGACATTGTTCCCAAGGCTTGAAAGCTGTTTTTTTGAGGGTGATCAGCACAATGGAATGCATAGTATTATGTTACACACTTTTGATGTAGGATCACAGTCTTGGGACCTCATCACATTAAGGTCGAAAAAGCGGGCAACAGCGGGGGGGGGGGATTCACTAGACCGAGTGGTAAATCTGGCGGGCAGAGGGGAAAACCAATGTCCCGTGCCCCACATTGCCAGCATGGCCACTTTCCCCATCACATAGGGAAAAGCATCACTGCCCGGCTTCTCCCTGCACTGACTACAGCTTACCAAATGAGAATGCGGGAAGCCTCCCATGATCTCAGGACTCTGCTGTAGGACGCTTCTAGGACAGAGTCAGGATGGAGCCCCATTGGAAGTAGCTCTGTGTCATGTGATGGGCTCCATCAGGCTCTGTCCTGATTCCATCCAGGAAGTATTCTAGGATGCAGCCAAGGCCTCGTGTGATGAGGTCCATGGTCTATGTAACAGAGCTTTTGCTATTCCCATTTTTGAGTTCCATAATGAAATCAATGACATTTAAATGTGTTTAACTTTGGCAATATGTTTTTCTATTTATAATATCTACCAAAACTGACATAATCTCTCTTTTATTCTTATCTTTTCACTTTGAAGATACACAGAGCCAGGAAAACACACAGATACTTTCCTAGCTCCCATTAGAAAGATGACAACTTGTTTCATGTACATTTATAGCTGGCACTGCAGCTCTTTCCTTTCTTCAAAATGGAATATTTTATCTTTTAGTGAAATGGAATAAACAGAAACCTGTCTAAGTCTTAATATTCTCAAGGGTGGATTTTCACTTGGTCCTACCACTGACACAAGGCTGTCTGGTTGAAAGGTTGCCTTTATACTGAAAATAGCTTTAAAAATATGGCATTGATCCCCAGTAGGTAAATCTTAATTTTGAATAGGTGATTATGATAATTGGCAATCCTTGGAGTTTGTCTGCCATCATGAATTTCAGCTTGGCTAATTCACCAAAGTCTGTTGAGAAAAAAAGAATGCTGATTTTAGACTTTGCTTTAATATTTCAGTTGGTGATTTAATGCGTCACAACAGTATAGCTCAATCATGCTTCTGCAAATTTATTGATGTAATAAAAAAGACGATTATACTTGGTAATTAAATTTTTATCATCAAGTTAGCAACAGTAGAACTCCCACTGTGTGCTTGGGGATTTCCTAACATGCCAGACTATCTCTTCCATATGACTATAACCTTTAAGTTACAGTAATCAAGTAGAAAAGAAGGGAGCAACAATAGAAAACATGTGGGCTATTTATGTAGAAACAGAAAGGAGTCAAAGTTTCAGCTGGTTAACTTTAATTTAATCTGTGAAATTCAGCCTTCACTTTTCTATAAACCTTCCCAATGCCAGCACATGCACTTGTTACTATAGTCCAGTGGCATGCTCCCATTAGTTTTGGGATCATTATTGGTCTGTCCTCCATGATTCCACATGCCTATTTTGAGCTATTTGTTAGCTATGTAATTATGTAATTGACACAATTGTTTTATTAATAGAGTTGTCTCTTGTTATTCATTGTGATTTGGGTTCAGGATCCCTGTGCATACCAAAATCCATGGATGCTATTATATACATGGCAACATCAAAGTTGGTTTTTTGGAATTCCTTTTTTGAAATATTTTCAAACTATGGATGGTTAAATCCATGGATATGGAGGGCCAATTATACTGACCATCATCATATGATTATTTTCTCCATTTCCATTGTTGTTTGCTGCTGTCAAATCACCTATGAATGAGAGACTTCCAAGTCACCTTATCCATAACAACCCTGCTCAAGTCTCACAGATTCATGCTGTGTCTTCCTCTATCTATCTGTAATGAGGTTCTCTTTTATTTTGCCTTTTACTATACCAAGCATTACTGTATTAGATGGCAGAAACATGACAGTCTCAGTTTAAACCTCATGGACAAAACTGAGTGGCTAAGCAGCATGGCTGCTCACGGGCTTACGAGCTGTCCAAAAAGTAATCCTCTGAACTCTGGTGTAATACTATGTGTAACTGATAGCTTTAGGTGGAGATATATCCTTGTGTTTCTACTAAGAGACATCAGGCCAGTTCAATATTGTTTGGGATCAAGGCTGACCCAACATCCAAAACATTTTGTTGTTGGAGAAAGGCAAAATAGTTATTCCTCACTTTCCATATACACAACTTAAGAGGATAAACAATGCAATCTTATTTTTATAAGTGTACATCATCACTAACGTTGATACAGTATCAAACTAAGGATGATACAAAAGAGAAAGCTAGTTTTATTGATACTAGGAAGGTCATTTGGCACATATATTGATACAGGGAAGATCTTATGGCTATCCTCCCCAAAACTCCCATGAACATTTGCCTCACTATGCATCGTAACTCTCTATGTTGGAACATCAGCTGAGGATAAGTATTCACTTGTGCATCTGCAACAGATGAGAAATACTAGGTGCTTACACCTATGTTTTCTCTTGCTGGACTGAACTGGATATTTCTAAGTAGAATTTTGAAGTGTGTTCAGTTATAATCTACTGGATTGGTTTTGAATTAAATATGGTTATAATGATGATGTGATTGTTGGGGTACTAAAAAGAAAGCCTATAATAGTTTTATGGGATTTGTGTGACCAATTTCTGTTACATTTTGTAACAGTCCTGTGATTCAGACTGCTGCTACTACTGCTGCTGTCTTTGCTGGAAAACAGAGATGTCATCACTGGAAAACCTTTCAAAACCTCCTCGTTATTATGATAATCTAAAAAGCTGTTAATGACATGTGTGCTCCTAGAACCAAATTAATTGGATGCTCTCTCTGAAGGCTCTCTTTGACGGTATTCTCAGTCCTACATTATATGATGAACAAAATGTGCTGTTAGATCAAATATTGTATTCAGAAGCCAGTTCTGATGTAAGACCTTTATTATGGTTCCACAAAATATTGCTCCCATTAATATACTACATCAATTGGGCGCAATTTTATGTGCATCATTAAGTGAAATCACATGTTTCATTGCATTTTTCTACCACTAACATTTTATTTAAGTAACACTAATACTTAACAAAGATACTTTGAATTGAGTGCCATCTGCAAATGATGTGTGTGTGATATTAGTGTGTCTTTTAATGAAGAGCTCTGTGTTCCTCTCCTTAATTGAAAGATGTACAAAAATGTAGCCCATGGGCCAAATCACACAGGCCCATAGTGTTCACAATTTTGATCTGGTTCTTATGATCTTGTCACATGGCCACTGGAATCGGCTTGCATCCTCAGGGGGCATGAGGAACGCGCCGCTCCATGCCCCACATTGCCTGGCTCCTGTTAAGGGTGATCCCATGATAGGAAATGTCGACCACACAGCTCCCCCCCCCCCATTGCTTCTTATGGCATCACAGGAATCCTCCAGTGTTGCTGCAGCGGTGGCATGCATCAGCTCCACCCTACATCACCCGTGGAGCTGATGGGAGCTGACAGGTTACATGGGTGATGTAGGGCAGAGCCAGTGTATGTTGCCAAAATCAGCCCTTTGTGATGAGGTGGTCTGTCTCACATCTGTGAAGAAAATGTTCTGTATTCATTAAGATTAACTTTGCTTTGGGTTTTCTTCTTTAGTGATGTGAAAGGTCCAGCGTCTGGGAAAGATACATCTTCAGAGCTCCCAGCCAGCATGTTAACTGGGGAATTCCAGTAACTGTAGTCCAGAAAGTAACCTTTCTAAGGTCCAAATAAGTCATAATGTCTTGCATGGTCTTTTCGGTTTTGACACCCACACTACAGAACTATCTCAGAGGAAATCAATTTGTGTCAATCCAAATTGCTGACATTCTTAATTTATTATGGGGCCTGTATTTTTAAAAATATTTTGTATTAGAATTATTCTTGCAATTAAAATAAAAGTATAGATAAATATAAATAACTCTATTTTTATTTTTGTTTCATTGTAGCGGAAAGAGACATCAATGTCTACTGTGGAGTACAAGCAATTTCTATGAAGATTAATTTTTGCACTGTCCTTTTCTCCGGTTATTCTGAAACAGATTTAGCATTAAATGGGAAACATGGGGACTCTCACTGCAGGGGATTTATAAACAACAACACATTTCCTGCTGTGGTCATATTCATCATCAATCTCAGCACATTGGAGGCCTGTGGTAACTCTTTAATGGTAAGACAAGTTTCTTTAAACCTTACATGTTGCTTTTAAATTGCTAGCACTGGGTAAAACAGTACATACTGTCAGATCAATATGTAGTCTCTATCTCTTGCTACCATGTAATAAACAAAAATAAAATATGGCACTGCATTTGTTACATTTCAGTGGAATGAGGCATAATGGGGGAAACTTGCAATGGCAGCAAACCATCCATTTTATCTAGTACCTGTTACTAGGAAAAGAAGAGGAGAAAGGGAAAAAAGTATGGGGTTGTCAGTCTTGTTTGATTCTCTTGAGAAGTTGTGTACATTAGTGCTGTGCAAAGTGGTAGTCTCTGGACAAATACCAGCGCATGAATCATTGACCTCCACTCTGTGATGAGTTTCTAGGTAACAAACAATTGCAGTCAGTGCATGCAAATATGGTAATGGTCTCTTGCAGATTGGGAGAAAAAACCCTTGCTAGTCACCCACATCATGTAGCTTGAGAGGCATAGGTCTATAAAACTATGGATGCTGGAGAAGTATTCTTTACTGAATATAGATTTTGGGGATTGAAGAAAGATAGGAAAACCTGAATGAAACAGCTAGGTTTAATGATACACTTTGTTCTTGTGAGTATAACATTTCACAGACTCACAGACTTCATGGTGGCCTCTATTCTGTTGTCATATGCTGCATAGCAACAAGTTGAACATTTATGAAATTATGTTTGAAATTAAGAGGTGAGGTTCAGGAATTTGGAGTGTTGGTTGGTTACTCTTATTTAAATTCTAGATCTCACCCATCCCATTGATATACTATTTGCAGTCTTCTCATATGAAAGAAAAGGTGTAGAGAAGGAAAGCCAGATTGTAGCACGGTGACTGGCAGTACTAGCTTCCAGTCATAGGAAATTGTTTTACCATATCACAGAGCTTTGTAGGATGTGTATTTAAGAAACATATTGGGCCTGTTTAATGCTATTTGCTAGTTCTGTCTCTCAGCAACGGGAATGTTAAAAATAGTTTAATGGAACGTATGAAACTACTACCATCACAGCTCTCAGCATCTTTGGAGCAGTTAAGCTCCCCACCATGACAAAGTAGCACCAGTCGGAGGGTTCGTAGAACTTATGTCACAATGACCACCTGCCAGTAGCAAAGAACTGGTGGGAACATAAACCTGCAAAGGTAGTGGAAAATGAAACGCAAAAATACTGTGGGGCTTTCAAATCCAGACTGAAAAAGTTTTGGAACACAATACACCAGACATCACGATTGTGGAAAAGAAAAAAAGTTTAGATGATTGATGTCACCATGCCAGGTGACAGTCAAATTGATGAAAAACAACAGGAAAAACAACCTGTTATCAGGACCTCAAAATCGAACTACAAAGGCTATGGCATAAACCAGTACAGGTGCCATGCCAAAAGATCTCAGCAAACATTTGAAAACAATACACATTGACAAAATCACGATCTGTCAACTGCAAAAGTCCCCCTTCCTTGGATCTGTGCACATCATTCAAAATACATCACACAGTCCTAAATGCTTGGGAAGTGTTTGGCTTGTGATTTTGTGATACGAAATCCAGCATATGTATCTTGTTTGCTGTATCATACTATGTCTTTGTGTCAGTAAAATAATAATAATAATAATAATAATAATAATAATAATAATAATAATAATAAATATAAGCTTTATTTGTTTGTCCCCCGCCTCATTTCCCTGGAGGGATTCGGGGTGTCTTACAACCAGAGTAGTATACATAAAAATAGCCACATATTAGTTAATAAAAGCAAAATAACACAACAATATAAGCATAAATGAACAAACAATTTTAATCACATCGTAAACCCTGTAAAACCATTATATAATGCCATTTATTTGCTATTTATAATTATTTATAATTAGAGTATTCAAGTTATAGCAATGATTATAATAGCCATTATAATCTACCTACCTACCTACCTACCTGCGTGACCGCATTTCTGTGTACGAACCCACATGCTCTCTTCGATCATCTGGAGAGGCCCTGCTCGCACTCCCACCTCCTTCGCAGGTGCGATTGGTGGGGATGAGGGAGAGGGCCTTCTCAGTGGGCCCCCCCCCCCGACTCTGGAATTCACTTTCCAAGGACATCAGACATGTCCCAACGCTGGCAGTCTTTAGGAGGAGCCTGAAAACGTGGTTGTTCCAGTGTGCCTTCCCAGAATAAGGAAAACTCTTAGCAATATGTCCTCAAATGTACTTTAATATTGATTTAGGATTGTCTGCATTTAAAACCTATGGCCGGGCCAAATGTAATAATTAAAATTTAAAAATATTTAAAAATAATGCTGGGCATGAACAAGATAGGGTATAACTAGGATAGGGTTTTCAAAGAACTTGGAGCCAAATTGAAGCCAAACTTAATTTTTGATTTGCATTATTGTTACTATATATCCCTAATCATCTGGAGAAGCAATTCTATCTTTCACTGTCTTCTTATGCATTCACTGCAACAAAGAAAGGCACAACCCTTTTCAGAACCTAGTTCCCTTTTAAAATGTTAAATAGGCCAAATAATCAAGCATCATTGTTTTGCCTAAGGAGTTCAAGTCTTACCATACAGACGTTTGGAACACAATTTCTCTTAGCTCCGAGTTGCCTGTGGGCTGAGTGGGAAGGTATATAAATGTAGTAAATAAATTAGCTGTGAATCTTACATACCCATCCTCAAGCTTCTCTACCCAGTTTTATAGAATGTCTGCAGGTTTTCAATTTCCGAGATTATCAAAAGTCCTAGACTTTGAAATATTTTGAGTGTCCCCGGTCCCCTAGTAGGGCCATTGCTGAGACTAATCCTTGTACTATAGTATTCAGCCAGCTCCATTTTTCCCTTCTCCTTGGCCCAGCCCGTTCCAAATAGTAGAGAACCCTTATTGAAATGCTTGACCTGGCAGCTTACCTTGCATGAAGAAGAGAGCGGTGCTGGTTTTAAATTGATTGTAACGTATATCTTGTGTTAACAGTTTATGCCTATGTTTTTGTTTTATATTGTATGTTTTTGTATTATTTTGCATATGTGGAAACCGCTCTGAGTCCTAGGGGAGATAGGGCAGTATACAAATAAAGATTATTATTATTATTATTATTATTATTATTATTATTATTATTATTATTATTATTATTTTGCAGTAAATGACATAGAGCTGAAGTTCTTCTGTTTAAAAAAATCTGTTCCTATCATTTTTTTATTTTATTGGCACCATTTTTGGGACCTGTTTCATTTGTTGTTAGCTGACCTGTGATTACAACTGATTGACAATTCATGTTGTTGTTCATTCGTTCAGTCGTCTCCGACTCTTCGTGACCTCATGGACCAGCCTACGCCAGAGCTCCCTGTCGTCCGTCACCACCCCCAGCTCCTTCAAGGTCAATCCAGTCACTTCAAGGATGCCATCCATCCATCTTGCCCTTGGTCGGCCCCTCTTCCTTTTTCCTTCCATTTTCCCCAGCATAATTGTCTTCTCTAAGCTTTCCTGTCTCCTCATGATGTGGCCAGTACTTCAACTTTGTCTCTAGTATCTTTCCCTCCAGTGAGCAGTCGGGCTTTATTTCCTGGAGGATGGACTGGTTGGATCTTCTCGCAGTCCAAGGCACTCTCAGAACTTTCCTCCAACACCACAGCTCAAAAGCATCGATCTTCCTTCGCTCAGCCTTCCCTAAGGTCCAGCTCTCACATCCGTAGGTTACTACAGGGAATACCATGGCTTTGATTATGCGGATCTTTGTTGCCAGTGTGATGTCTCTACTCTTTACTATTTTATCGAGATTGGACATTGCTCTCCTCCCAAGAAGTAAGCGTCTTCTGATTTCCTGGCCACAGTCTGCATCTGCAGTAATCTTTGCACCTAGAAATACAAAATCTGTCACGGCCTCCACGGTTTCTCCCTCTATTTTCCAGTTGTCAATCATTCTTGTTGCCATAATCTTGGTTTTTTTGACGTTTAGCTGCAACCCGGCTTTTGCGCTTTCTTCTTTCACCTTGATTAGAAGGTTCCTCAGCTCCTCCTCGCTTTCGGCCATCAGAGTGGTGTCATCTGCATATCTGAGGTTGTTAATGTTTCTTCCAGCAATTTTCACCCCAGCTTTGCATTCATCCAGCCCCGCACATCGCATGATGTGTTCTGCATACAAGTTAAAAAGGTTGGGTGAGAGTATGCATCCTTGCCGTACGCCTTTCCCAATCTTGAACCAGTCTGTTGTTCCGTGGTCAGTTCTGACTGTTGCTACTTGGTCCTTGTACAGATTCCTCAGGAGAGAGACAAGGTGGCTTGGTATGCCCATCCCACCAAGAACTTGCCACAATTTATTATGATCCACACATGTCAAAGGCTTTAGAATAGTCAATGAAGCAGAAGTAGATGTTTTTCTGAAACTCCCTGCCTTTCTCCATTATCCAGCGGATATTGGCAATTTGGTCTCTCGTTCCTCTACCTTTTCTAAACCCATCTTGAACATCTGGCAACTCTCGCTCCATGTATTGCTGGAGTCTTCCTTGCAGGATCTTGAGCATTACCTTACTGGCATGAGAAATAAGGGCCACTGTACGGAAGTTTGAGCAGTCTTTCGCATTTCCCTTTTTTGGTATGGGGATATACGTTGATTTTTTTCCAGTCTGATGGCCATTCTTGTGTTTTCCATATTTGCTGGCATATGGCATGCATCACCTTGACAGCATCATCTTTTAAGATTTTAAACAGTTCAGCTGGAATCCCGTCATCTCCTGCTGCCTTGTTGTTAGCAATGCTTCTTAAGGCCCATTCAACCTCACTCCTCAGGATGTCTGGTTCTAATTCATTCACCACACCGTCAAAACTATCCTCAATGTTATTATCCTTCCTATACAGATCTTCTGTATAGTCTCGCCACCTTCTCTTGATCTCTGCAGCTTCTGTTAGGTCCCTGCCATCTTTGTTTCTTATCATACCAATTTTTGCCTGAAATTTACCTCCAATGTTTCTAATTTTCTGGAAGAGGTCTCTTG